ATAAAGCAAGATATGAAACAAGGTGTCACGAGTTTAATGATGAGCTGATTTGTATTTACTTAAATTTTTAGTAACTACGTTACTTCCTCTGTCACAATTATTTCTGGTCTACAAATTATTTGATCATATTTAGTTTTCAAGGTTCTATTTTCAGATTACAAGATTATGTCTTTAATTTGCAATGATTTACAAATTCATTGGGAACTGAAAACGTAAAAAAAAAGTGAGTTCCTAAATTTTTATGCAGCAAACTTTTTTATCTTCAAGATGTTATTGAATGAATAGCTGCATTTTGTTTCTCATCTCCTACTTATATTTTCTAGACAGAATTTTTTAGACTAACTGAATGGTTTGAATTCATCTCACTACACATGTGGATTCAGTATTACACTGCGCTTTATTTTTTTTTATTATTTTGTGGTTTAGATTCAGAGAACAAAGTCCAAGACAACAAAAGTCCTTCACCTGCACTGGTTAAAGAACGTTGCATGTTCTTTGAGAAGGAGAATGGAAAAGCTAATGAAGCTGAGCCCAGAAAGGTTGTGGAGGAAGAAGTCTTGGCGAACAACCCTTCAGATTCTGTGGCTATGAATCCTGAACTAACAGCTTTGTCATCTGAAAGTAGTGAGTACACATGGGTTAAATATTGCATTTTTCCCTACTGCTACTTCCCGCCATGAACATGTTTAAAAGTATTTTTAGACTTAAAAAACAAATCCAGCAGGACACTTTGAATTTTATACCATTGATCTACAGTATACATGTACCTTTTACAACAGGAGTGCATCAAAAGTGAGGCATGTAAAACTTGATATTTCACAATATTTTCCTGAAAATCCTTTACTTCCTCAAAGGAATTGTAGGATATTTTTCACAAAGCAAGATATCAAACAAGGTGTCACGTGTTTAATGATTGCCCAGTTAATGTTTTTTTTTTTTTTTTTTTTTTTTTTTTTTTTTTACCACATTTTTTTTTTTTTTTTGGTTTTTTTAAGGTTTTTTCTCCCCCTT